ATATTTTTATAAAGCTTTAAACTGAGCACTAAACAGATACGGTGTGTGTGTGTGTGTGTGTGTGTGTGTGTGTGTGTGTGTGTGTGTGTTTTCAGGCCTGTGGTGAGTGATGCAGCTTCCTGACTCTGAGCAGATATGGAAACGATGTAAACATTAACTTGTTACACTGTTTAATATATGAACACATCTCAGTGAAATGTTTCACCTCACAATGAATAACCAATCACAGCCACAGAATCCCCCGTTTTCTCAGTTTGAGTCTTTTGCCTTTCACATCAGTTACCATGACGCCAATCACCCTCCTGAAACCAACCCCCCACCCCCCCACACACACATGTAGATATGTCAGTTATGTTTGCAAAAAAAAAAAAGGGGGGGGGGGATAGAACATTATATATAATATATACATTAGGTGAATGTGCAGTAGTAGCATTTATGCAGCGAGCAGGTGAATTCTGTACATCAAGTGAATAAATAAGAATAAACAATCTGAACATATTTAACATTAAAGGAATTTGAAATGTACTCATGTTAGACACACAGTCTGGAAGAGAGTCCTGTCTCAGTCACTTATGGATGGTGTGTGTGGGGGGGGGGATAGCAGCTCCCCCTGAGTCTCCCCGTCCTTGCCTGGATGATGAGGAACCTTCTACCTGATTGCAGAAGTTGGAACAGTTTGTTGCTCAACAGTGATGAGCAAGTAATAAACCTCAAATATTAAAACACAGCACTGACATTTACAGCACGGCTCAGGCCAAACGAGTCCACAGACGCACTCAAAGGTCCTTCCATAGTTTAGAAACTGCAGCCTCTGTTTAGTTTTCAGTCTAGAACGAGGAACCGCCAACGGGTCTGTGTCAGAAGCTGTCGGTGACCTGCACGACTCGAGCCTGAGAGCTCATGCACAGACGGAGAAACAGGTCACGAGGCCAGTGACAGGACATCATCAGCAGCCTCGCAGCAGCATTTTGGAGCGTTCACAGGCCATCTGAAGACGACTTACCGAGGCCACAGCACGAAACAAAGGCATCAAAAAGCACTTCTCTTTCCAGCTTGGACGTCGTTGTAAATGCAACACCTACATTTCTGACAAGTGAGAGATGATTAGCAGCCATCCAGATGTTTTTGGCATCAGTATCACAGGACATCATCTGCAGCAGTGATATGAGATGCCCGTAAAGATGTGTTTGTGTGATAGTAAATACAGTGCAGGACAAAGTGACAGAGGTGGAGGAGAGCCACAGATTCATCATAACTAATGATTGGATGCAGAGTAAACACACAGAGAGTGGTGAGGAAACCCCGTCTGAGTCCTAAACCTGTCTGCGGTCAGGTACCTGCAACGCTGCACGTGACAGCCTGATGAAACGAGACGAGTGTGTCAGTGACACATCTTTGTTTACATGTTTCTGTGATAAAGATCCATCAAAAGCTTTTCATATGTGTTTCCAAATAAATGAAATATGCACACAGAGTCAGGATCTACAGTCTCTGCTTCTTCATTGCTGCAGCTCTTTGTGGCCAGCCGGAGATCGAGGAGCCGCCTGGTAAGACTGTAATGTTGGAGAGATCCTGACGTGAAGGTTCACTTTGTTCCACAATAAACAGAAACTTCACCCAGGAGCAGTCTGCAAACGCTCCCAGCATTTTCCGGCATGACAGAGAAACGGAGGCCAGAATGAAAACCAAGTGATTCACTTTATCACACTTTAATGGAAAACCTCAGAAAACTCCGTTAATCCTAATCCCATCTGAAATCTGTGATCAGCTCGGAGCTCTGAGGCAGGAAACACGAGCAGGACTCACAGGTAACGAGGTGAAGACAAAAAGTAGACCCGAGGGGAAACACCTGGGTAACCATAGACAGGTGAAACGAAGCATGAAAAACAAGACATGGGGAGTAAAACTAAAAGACACGGAGAGTTCAGCTAAAACTAGTGATGGGCAGATGAAGCTTCATGAAGCACTGAAGCTTTTCATCCAATTGGTTCACCCCAGC